TCCTCGTGGACTGGCAAGGGCACGAGCCGGCGCCGCACAAGACGGCGAGGCAGCGGATGAAAGCTGCAATTGCCGGCAAGAACGGCGTGATCAAGGAGCTCGTGCGCGCGCGCTTCTTCGAGTCTGGTGGGCGCTTTGCCGCGCAATGGCGGGATGAGATCCATCGCGCGGGCCTTGCAGTTCAGGCCTGGTGGTCGGGCTGCACGTGGTTCCCGACTCCGGGAGACTTGGCCAAGCTGCGAGACGCCCTGGCCGCGGGCCCGCCAGGCGACGAGACGCGGGAGCAGCGGCAGCTCGTCTTGCCGCCGGCAGGGCCGCCGCCTCTCGCGGCGTCACACAGGGGCCCCGGGTCGCTGGTTCCCGGGGCGCCAGCAGCCGCCTCCGAACTCGCCCCGCCGCCTCCGTCGCAGAGATCCGCCGCCGCGGCCGCAGTGGCCGAGGCGGGCTCGACGCGCGTCGCCGCCAAGCCCGCCCCTGCCGCCGAGCCGCCGCAGCGGCCCGCTTACGCACCGCCGCCCTTCGCCGCGTCACCTGCACACGGGTCGCCAGTGGCTGCTCCCGAGCCCGCCCCGCCGCCCGCGTCGCCGATGCTCGCCGCTGCGGCAGCCGCGTCCGAGGCGGGCCCGACGCGCGTCGCCGCCGAGCCCGCGCCCGTCGCGGAGCCGTTTCAGCGGCGCTGGCGGGCCGCCCGCGAGGCGCCGCCCATCGCCGGGTCGGCAGCACATCGGTCGGCAGTGGCTGCTCCCAAGCCCGCCCCGCCGCCCGCGTCGCCGGGGCTCGCCGCTGCGGCAGCCGCGGCCGAGGCGGGCCCGACGCGCATCGCCGCCGAGCCCGCGCCCGCCACGGGGTCGCCGCAGCGGGCCGCCGGCGAGGCGCCGCCATCCGCCGCGTCGGCTGCCCCTGGCGCGCCAGCGGCTGCCCCTGAGCCCGCTCCGCCGCCTGCGCCGCAGAGGCACGGCGCCGCGGCCGCAGCGGCGGGGCCGCCGGGGCCGCCGCCGCCGGCCGTTCGCGAGGCACTGGCCGCCTCGCTCTCAGAGGGCCCACCGAAGAGGCCGAGGCTCCCCGAGCCGCCGCTGAACTTCTACCACGACACGCCTCCGGTCTCTCCAACGCCCGCCCCAATGGTGTCTGAGGCGTCGCGCCGGCACATCGCCCACGTGTCGCAGCTCTACTTGCGCGGCCTCAAGGTCACCGACAGGTCGATGCCCTTGCTGGACCGGCAGCGCGAAAACGTCTGGGTGCCGGAGGTGGCCCCCCACGCCATCGACAGAGAGAGCTTCTCGGCGGCGGCGCACTTGGTGCGCGTCTTCCTCGGCGAGTTTGCGAAGACGACAGGGTTCCGGGAGCGCATTGCCGACCCGAAGCCTCGGCTGCTCACCGCGGCGGGCGAGGGGGAGTTCATTGGTCGCCACGCCAAGGGCTTGACCAAGGAAGCGGGCGGGAGGTGGTTCCAGATGACGCCGCAGGAGCGACTGGCCATCTTCGACGCGCACCTCCGCCGGGGCCTGTCAACGGCGCCCGCGAGGCACGCGGGGCATCGGATGGAGCCCGCGGCCGACGAACGCCCTCGCCGCTGCGATTGGTTCTCGTCGCCGCAGGCCGCGGGCTTCTACGTGACCGAAGAGGAGACGGCTGCCTTGGTGGGCGCAGTCGCCGCGGTATACACGTCCGACTTGCGCGCGCTGAGCGCGGCTGCCTTGCCGCCGAGGTAGGCCGCAGCGCGCGCCGACGACCGCCCTGAGGAGTTGTTCTGATGGGCGGCGTGCGCAGCGAGCGCCGCGCCGACGATCGCCCTGAGGAGTTGTTCTGATGGGTGGCATGTGAAGCGCGCGGCACTCGTTGTTTCCTTTGCGACCCCTCGAAAAAACTCTGAGCTCGTGGAGAGGGGGAACAGCACGGTGCGGGTTGGCAGAGGCCGCGCTCTCCCATTGGTCAGAGTCATATGTTTCTCTGTCGCGTTTCGGAGTTATTAGTCTCGAGGCTTTTCCAGGTGGCCGAGGACGCGGCTGCTACGAGAAGCCCAAACAACGCAAAACAACCCTTTTGCATTCTCAGACAGCCTCGAGACCCTTCGGGATAATCTGGCGGCGCACCTGGAAAGGGTCCGAGAGCGCCCTGGGAGGGCCGATTAGCAATGAGCAGATATAGCAATGAGTCTGCCTCGCCGCTCTGCCGTGGCGTCCCAGGCGTACCCCCTCGCCCGGCCTCCTGGCTCGCGATTCCAGAGCTCCTTTGGCCCCAGCTCCAGGCTTCCCAGATAGGGTCGAAGTAGGGGGGGTCACAGGACGCCGCGTCGTTGATGCATCAGTGATGCGGCGGGATGCGGGGCCGGGTTCCCTCCATCCCAACTTCGCCGATGCATCGTCGATGTAGTGCGATCCGCAGATCCTTTGTTACTCCGGTCCTGTTTGGGAATCCTCCGCCAGCGCCCAGCTCCGGCCGCGCGCCGACCTGCCTCTCGTCGCAATGTGCACTCCCGGCGCTTCCCACGCTCCGTCCAAGGCGAGGCGTGACAACCGGGAGTACTGGTTGTTTCAGGCCGCCAGCGACGGGTGCCTCCCTTGCGTGAAACACTTCCTCGACGTGGAGAACGTCGATCCCGGCGCCCTGTCTGCCACGCAGAAGTACACGGCCCTCGACTTTGCCATCCGCGCTCACT